TATCTATCTATCTATCTATCTATCTATCTATCTATCTATCTATCTATCTATCTATCTATCTATCTATCTATCTATCTATCTATCTATCTATCTATCTATCTATCTATCTATCTATCTATCTATCTATCTATCTATCTATCTATCTATCTATCTATCTATCTATCTATCTATCTATCTATCTATCTATCTATCTATCTATCTATCTATCTATCTATCTATCTATCTATCTATCTATCTATCTATCTATCTATCTATCTATCTATCTATCTATCTATCTATCTATCTATCTATCTATCTATCTATCTATCTATCTATCTATCTATCTATCTATCTATCTATCTATCTATCTATCTATCTATCTATCTATCTATCTATCTATCTATCTATCTATCTATCTATCTATCTATCTATCTATCTATCTATCTATCTATCTATCTATCTATCTATCTATCTATCTATCTATCTATCTATCTATCTATCTATCTATCTATCTATCTATCTATCTATCTATCTATCTATCTATCTATCTATCTATCTATCTATCTATCTATCTATCTATCTATCTATCTATCTATCTATCTATCTATCTATCTATCTATCTATCTATCTATCTATCTATCTATCTATCTATCTATCTATCTATCTATCTATCTATCTATCTATCTATCTATCTATCTATCTATCTATCTATCTATCTATCTATCTATCTATCTATCTATCTATCTATCTATCTATCTATCTATCTATCTATCTATCTATCTATCTATCTATCTATCTATCTATCTATCTATCTATCTATCTATCTATCTATCTATCTATCTATCTATCTATCTATCTATCTATCTATCTATCTATCTATCTATCTATCTATCTATCTATCTATCTATCTATCTATCTATCTATCTATCTATCTATCTATCTATCTATCTATCTATCTATCTATCTATCTATCTATCTATCTATCTATCTATCTATCTATCTATCTATCTATCTATCTATCTATCTATCTATCTATCTATCTATCTATCTATCTATCTATCTATCTATCTATCTATCTATCTATCTATCTATCTATCTATCTATCTATCTATCTATCTATCTATCTATCTATCTATCTATCTATCTATCTATCTATCTATCTATCTATCTATCTATCTATCTATCTATCTATCTATCTATCTATCTATCTATCTATCTATCTATCTATCTATCTATCTATCTATCTATCTATCTATCTATCTATCTATCTATCTATCTATCTATCTATCTATCTATCTATCTATCTATCTATCTATCTATCTATCTATCTATCTATCTATCTATCTATCTATCTATCTATCTATCTATCTATCTATCTATCTATCTATCTATCTATCTATCTATCTATCTATCTATCTATCTATCTATCTATCTAATCTATCTATCTATCTATCTATCTATCTATCTATCTATCTATCTATCTATCTATCTATCTATCTATCTATCTATCTATCTATCTATCTATCTATCTATCTATCTATCTATCTATCTATCTATCTATCTATCTATCTATCTATCTATCTATCTATCTATCTATCTATCTATCTATCTATCTATCTATCTATCTATCTATCTATCTATCTATCTATCTATCTATCTATCTATCTATCTATCTATCTATCTATCTATCTATCTATCTATCTATCTAATCTATCTATCTATCTATCTATCTAATCTATCTAATCTATCTAATCTATCTAATCTATCTAATCTATCTATCTATCTATCTAATCTGTCTATCTATCTAATCTATCTAATCTATCTATCTATCTAATCTATCTATCTATCTAATCTATCTATCTATCTATCTAATCTATCTAATCTATCTATCTATCTATCTAATCTATCTATCTATCTATCTATCTATCTATCTATCTATCTATCTATCTATCTATCTATCTATCTATCTATCTATCTATCTATCTATCTATCTACCTATCTATCTATCTATCTATCTATCTATCTATCTATCTATCTATCTATCTAATCTATCTATCTATATCTATCTATCTATCTATCTATCTATCTATCTATCTATCTATCTATCTATCTATCTATCTATATATCTATCTATCTATCGATCTATCTATCTATCTATCTATCCTATCCTATCTATCTATCTATCTATCTATCTATCTATCTATCTATCTATCTATCTATCTATCTATCTATCTATCTATCTATCTATCTATCTATCTATCTATCTATCTATCTATCTATCTAATCTATCTATCTATCTATCTAATCTTATCTTATCTTATCTTATCTTACCTTATCTTATCTTATCTTATCTTATCTTATCTTATCTTATCTTATCTTATCTTATCTTATCTTATCTTATCTTATCTTATCTTATCTTATCTTATCTTATCTTATCTTATCTTATCTTATCTTATCTTATCTTACCTAATCTTACCTAATCTAATCTTATCTAATCTTATCTAATCTAATCTTATCTAATCTTATCTAATCTTATCTTATCTAATCTTATCTTATCTTATCTTATTATCTTATCTTATCTTATCTTATCTTATCTTATCTTATCTTATATAATCTTATCTTATCTTATCTTATATAATCTTATCTTATCTTATCTTATCTAATCTTATCTTATCTTATCTTATCTTATCTTATCTTATCTTATCTTATCTTATCTTATCTTATCTTATCTTATCTTATCTTATCTTATCTTATCTTATCTTATCTTATCTTATCTTATCTTATCTTATCTTATCTTATCTTATCTTATCTTATCTATCTATCTATCTATCTATCTATCTATCTATCTATCTTGAAGTTTAGTTAGCTAACCTGTCCTACAAAGTAAATGGGTCCTAGAGAATCTTAATACCATTGATCTTTCTTCATAGAGCATTGTCTCAACACAATTAATCTTTTCTTGCAGCCGAAATATCCTAAAAGTCTGATCTCAATGAGCGTAGTATCGAGTATCAACCAATTTTCAGCTTTCCACCGAAACCGACTATCTCACTACTTCCTAATGGCCAACTTGTTCAATTAAATGTTCTAAAGTCAGTTAGTGCTTCATGACACTGCTCAGCGGCCCCGTATTCTCCTCGATTCAACACAAGAGATACCGGTACCAACAAATACGCCACACTAACATAGTCATTGCTTCAACCATATCGGTCTATGTCATACAATTTCCATAATCTATTACTACTTACCTAATGATGTTCCCAGATCCGGGTAGAGGATCAATACAAACCCAAACAAGGACCCACAAATGTAAAGCAAACAAATCAAACAATGAAAACATTTAAAGGTGATCTAATCTCTAAGGTAACCTCACTTTTAAACTAATCCCTAGTAGAGTCCCCATTTCTGTAATACGGTGGGAGAATTGACTTGGGTGTTTTGCGTTTTATCGCAATTGTTGCAAATAGCAAGAGTCACCACCGACTTTCCTTTTATCCAATAAGGAAAGGGTGAAAAGAACAGGAAAGACCTTTAAGATATTTTCTTGAGTTCGGAGGGAAAGTTATGAAAAGGGAAGGTGTTAGCACCCTTTTCATCCATAGTTATCTATGGGCTCTTAGTTGCTTGCTAGATCACTTTTGAAATTGCTTTGTTTGAAATATGTTTGTGATAGGATTTTGAAAGTATTTTTGAAAAACGCATTCGTTTAGGCAAACTTTGTAATAATTCCCGTCTCTATAAGAATGCATACAAAGTGTTGGACTTTTTGAAAATATTTTCATGTTTTGAAAGTGTTTGGTGTATTTTGGAAAGATGTCTTGTTTTGAAGATGGATTGTGAGCAAGAAACTAAGAACGTTCTACCTATTCAAAAGTCTTTCGTTCATTTCTCTCTTCCTTTGATATTTCTATCTTACCATTGATTGGTAAGAAGCCTTATCTTTGGATGTAAAGGAACGAGCATGGTTCATCGTGTAGTCATGGATAGCAATGTTGTGAGATACCTTAGCATTTCCCTTAAGGGACCAAGATCATTTTTAAGGCAACATTTGTAGCGTCATCGAGGGACTATGATCTTGTATTTTTGATTTGTTTCGGCTAAGATATCTTACATGCATATCATGGCCATTTTCTCAAGGCAACAAGTGGAGTTAACCCTAGAGGTGCAAGTGTGCAAGTGTTTATTTTTCATGCATTTTTTTTGTCTTGGATTAGGATTTGTCTAAGATTGATTTTTCTCTTGCCATACACACCCTAGTTACTAACATTTGTATTCGAAAATGGTAAATTGCGGAAAATAAAGTCCTACGCTATTACATCGTTTATGGAGATGGGGGTACAATTTACAAATGGGGATGGATAAGAGCTTAAATATTACAACCATATTAAATAGCCATGACGAAAATATATGAAACATATAAAAATATAGGAAAAGGAAAGAAAAATGCATTTTTGAACATTATGTGTCGACGCATGCTCTTTTCATCGACACATAACCTTCCCTTGCCCCTGTATTGCCAAATTAACTCAGTATGAGTCGATGCATAATGGTATGTGTCGACTCATTCCTTGCATGTGTCGACTCATACGTGCTTTGTGTCGACTCATACTCCTTTTTTCCTTCTGTTTTGGGCCTGTATAGCAGTATGTGTCGACTCATAAGGTTATGTGTCGACTCATAACCTGTTTTTCCACTAAGATGTGTCGACTCATATAGTTATGTGTCGACTCATACTGTCATTTTTTCACTTCAACATTGTTTTGCTGCGTACATGGGTTAATTCTCAACACACAAATGAAAAGAATGGAAGACAAACAAAGGGTTAGCTTCAAGGGAATGGTTATTACATTTGATCTTCAAAGATGAATCAACTAATGATGCTTGCGATGAAGGGTTTAAAGTCAAGGGGACTTACCTTGAAGCTTGAATTTGTGTTTTGAGCTTGAGTTGCTGCCTTGAGTGTTCTTGAGCTTGGAAAACAGAGATGTTACATAAGTTTTTTCTTGAGTTTGAACAACTTCTAAGTAATGTATGTGAGATGTTTAGATGTTTGGATAAAATTTATAAAGTTTGAGAGGTTCAAAGATTTGGACTTTAAAACTCAAGAGTGGAAGATTTATGGACTATTATGGCTTTTGTGAATATGATATTTTTTTAGGGTTTATCAACAAAACTTCTGGTTTTCTCTCTATTTTTTTGTCCTCTTTCCCTTGCAAATGCTTCTCTTATTTATAGGCAAAAGTTTTATGAATAAGGGCTGAATAGGTTTACAAGACAACATGTTATGGTTTGGCTGGGATGCAAATATCAAACTATGTCATGTACTCCATGGTTCCAAGATGAATTACCAAAGTTGCTGGTTTAGAGGGGTTAATTTACATGATTTATGGTGGAGTAAAATCAAAAACAAACAAAGTATGGGTTTAAGACAAACTTTGTACAAAAATCTTGCTTTTCAAGAATAGCAATGGTGCCTTTTATGCCATAAATGGAAATATCTTTTAGACATTGACTTAAAAACTTGGGTAATAGCTCAAGAGTGGGTGTAAGCATTAAATTATGGTGAGATTGGAAAGTAAGAAGGCCTACAACACAAGATTATGCAGCATAGCATAAGGGTTTTGTTATGTGTTCTTCAGTAAAATGACTTGCAATTCCAGAATGGATGCCCAACTTCATGCCCTTGAATATCCTAGCTCAAGTATGATAAATTCATGCTCTTGTATGTTTTGGAAAGCTTGAAATATCCTTTATAACTTTCATGTTGGCCATTTTGACAAAATCATCTTGGAACTATGTGAAAAAATGCCAAGAAGTTGGGATAAAATCCTGACCAAAATCTGTTGAAAATTTCTCTAAGTGTTAGATGAAAATGTCATGATTTTATAAATTTATAACTCAAAATACAAGCCTTTATAGAACAAGTCCTGCCCTACAAGATCCAATATATAGGACCACTTAGGTCTACGTTGCCACGATATTGTTCTATGGAAGCGGGCGGGCTGTTAGAAGTTCGGCCCGGTTTTTTTTGGTGTCGTAGGGGAGGGATTTACCTTTTTAACGCATATTCACTCGTACCGGCATGGCCCCACTGATTTGTTTTCGATCGGAGCATCAAGCAGCGCAACCCGGTTCTACTTGACTAAGCCCCGTGCTCGTCCAAGGAGGGAGTTTGCTTTACCCAACTCCCTTTTTGATAACAAGGCAGAAACCCCCGACATTCATTAGTTTCGAATGAAGAATGAAGAGTGCCCCAGCAAGCACCTACTCCTATCAAAATTAAAAGCGTTACTTTACTAAACAAGCAATAAAAGCTCTTTACTAATAACATAGAAAGGGCTTTTCTCGCTTGTAGCTTTCTTCGCATGCTTGAGCGCATTAATAGAATACATATAAAATAAAAAATGAACTTGAGTTTTCAATAAGGCTCGCGTAGGGGCGCTCACGTTTTTTGGCTTACCTAAAATCTTAGATTTTTAAGTTGGTAAAGACCCACCCCTTGTTTCAGTCAGAATGAGTCCCCGGGACCCCGGGACATTGGCTTCCGCCAACAGTGGACTATTAAGGATCGCATCCCGCGCATATTCTACATTATAGCCTGCAACTGATTCAGCTTCCGCTTCTGGGAGATCAAACGGAGCTCGATTAGTTTCTGCTAGACGAGAAATGAAGAACATAACCAATACAGGGAACAAGGGAATACCGGACCATATCTGCTTTTGCGCCATGACAATCTCACTCGAATTACGGGGACCTACACATATTAGTACAGTATACCGGGGTCCCCGGCCAGAACCACACGTGCAAGTTTCCCTGCATGTGGCTCGTCCGCGCTTTCCGAGGCGCTGCCTGTGACTCAGCATGGGATAAGAGGGCGTCACGTCACACTTTCGTGTTTAGAGCATTGTCCGAGTGAATAGGCAGCGCCTACCAAGCAAAGCTTTCTTGAAGAGGCTGGTTCCTTTTCGGTTCGGCGCCCGCATTTTTTTTAGATGTAAGGGCAAGGCAAGCCCCAGGAAAGTCTGGCTCCCAGCTAAATCTCGGCCGGCATCCAGCTCTCGAGGGGGTGGGGTCCTGGAGCGAACTACTCATTGCAGTCTTGCCCCAACCCAAGGCCGTTAAGGTTGGTGAGGAGCATTGTTTTGAGGGAGGGAAAGCGTGGTTGACAAGCCACTTCGAGGAAGCGACTGGAGTGCTTTCATCAAATGATGCATATGGGCTGAGCCATTCCCATCCCAAGTGGTGGCCCGATTCGGCCTGGCCTGGTCGGGAAGAGATTCACATAGATACTTTTGCTATCCGGGAATCTCTTTCTATGTTAGCTAGCGGGGGCAGGCTTTCCTATGATAGTCCCGCTGCGGCCTCTGACCGTCCGTTACGTCTCATCTTGATTTGGCTATACTTGTATGTAGCCAGCCATGTTAGCTTCACATGAGAGAGCCCTTTTTTTAAGGCTAAAAACTCATCAGTCAGCTCGGCCCCTTTCCTATTCAGCTTTGCCGCCTATTAAGAGAATAGGTCCCGTTCAAGCGGCCCTCCTTTATTCATCTATACCAGCTGCCCCACGCACGACCCAATAGGAACGATTTCAGCGCCTCTATCTAGATAAGAAGCAGAACGCGCCATCACCTACAGCCCTTTCCTCTGTCGGGGACTTCCACGAAATGAAAACGGGCGGCATCGTCGTATGCTCGACATTGGTTGCCCTGGTTTATATCTCGGAGTACTCCTATGGCCGATCTGTCACCCAACCTACTCAAAAATCTAAAGGCTTGACCCCGTCCCGTTTGGAGAATGACCCTTATGGCATGGCTTAGTCAGTTATTATCGCAGTTCAGATAAGATTCGGACCGCCACTTCTCTGAAAGCATGGTTCTTGCCTTCCTCTTTCCTCCCTCCTTGGAGCTCGTCCATTCGTTAGGTGATCCCTTGCTCTCACGTTCGAGTGTTTGCTCGTCGTTTAGGCCGGTTAGTTAGATTTCTGCTCATTGCAGTCACCTCCGGGGTTCTTCGCACCTGGATAGTACCAGGACCCTTGTGCCCCGGCCCTTGATCAGATAAATCCGCCCTTAAACCAAAAACTACAAATGAGCCTTGCGACGAGACGCGGACATCCCCCATGCTGCGGTTCCCTCCGGTCCGTTCCCGGGTTGGGTTAGGGGAACATCCGAGCGATTGCCTTCGCGGATCCAAACGCGCTCACAAGGCGCACAATAAGAATAAGACCAATAGAGACTTCATAAGAGACCATTTGAGCTGCAGATCGTAATGCTCCTAGAAAGGCATATTTCGAATATAGAGGAGTGAAAGTTCCCAACAACGAGTTGATCATACCCTTCTTTGAACCGTACGAGCACGTCCTCTGTAACCCCCCCACCGCGCTTACGGCTCTATACCCCAACCCAACTTGCTCTGGCCCCCGGTCCTCCCTTTCTATTCCTCGGTAAGCGGACCGTGGGAGCATGAGGGGGGGCGATATCCGCTTTTGACTGATAGAAAGCATCTCTCTTTTGTCCCTCCTGACCGAACCCGAAAAGAATAACTTTATGCCACTTTGTACACTTTAGTGTAGGCACCTTCTTTAAACGTGCCAAGCTGTGGAAGAGAGGTGCCAGGGGAATCAATGCTCTCAGCTGAAACAGGGCTTGAAGCCTTCGAAAAACCTTTATGCTCTTTTCTTCCTATCGAGTGGCGTCAACCAGACTGAAAAATAGAATAGCTGATCGAGCTCTTTGGTACGCGGCTAACCTTTTAAATGGAGCTGTTCTTGCTACTCCCATAAACTAAAGAAATAGGGTGGGTAGGATAAGGACTCTTATCATACAGCTCTTTTTCTTTCTCTTCAGGTGTCCTTTTATTATCTCTTGGCCCGTTGCGCCTGTTTGACCAATGAGAGTCCAGACTTGAGCTCATCTGATTAATTCATTCTTCCATTCGTCAGTATCGTCAAAGCAGCTGAACTCAATCCCGATGGCTACCAGTGTCGATTGGCATTCCGCTTCTATAAACTATATATATACTACAGATGTGACCATGATTCTATCTTGGTGAGAGTGGCGTGACTTGAAGCTGCACGGAGACCATTTCCTTTTCTTGCTCTCGTGTTGGATGTCATCTCGGCATATCGGTCGGTTTAAGATGAATCCGGGGGAGGGAAATCCTCCATTGGCCGTTGACCTTTGATTCTCTTCTCTGAACAGCTCTTAGGCTAAGATTGAGTTGAATCCGCTTCTCTTCCGTATTCCTCAGCTCGACTTTATGTTGCCGAAGCTGTCTTGAGGCCCTTTCTTTCCGGCTTCCTTGAGTCAGCTCGGTAGCTAGTCTAGTAAAATAGCCTCTTCCCTTAACCTTAATAGGGCTTGCTCCCTCTTCTCGTCCACTCGGGAATGAAGCCTTACCTTTCGCTACTAACCTGTTAAATGGAGTTGAGCTGGCTACAAAAAAAATGGCTTCAGTGATGGTTGCTTCATCAAATATAGGTGGCAGGGTCAGACTTTGAGAAAGAGTCCACTGCTGTCCAGTCATAGTCAGTAGGAGCAGCTCCGGCTCAGCTCGATCAAATTTCAAAATTTAACTCAGGCCTTGTAGTACCTCGCTATCCTCTGTTGGTAAGTAGCCATTCTGAACTGAGCTTGCTTTCTTAACTCTTAAATTAGGTCGAAGTTGGTCCTCAACTCTTCTTCGTTGGAACCCACATTTTGAAAAGTTCTGTTAGGTTCTTAGTAGCAGTCGGCGACCTTTTCTTCCTTCTTTTACTTCACATAGCTTTTCGTCTCCTTGATAGCTGGAAGTTCTCCAAAAGTATGAAAAGCTGGAGGACTTTGTACCAGCCATTCCAGTGTGGTTGAATTTTGTTCAACAGCCCAAGGAATGTTCGCCCTTGTTATGTTATTTCCACTGCTTGAAGTGATTGTTACGACCACGAAGAAACGACGAATCCCAACTACGGATATATAAGAGCCAAAACTGCTAAGGGCATTCCATCCAGCGTAAGCATCTGGATAATCTGGAATGCGACGTGGCATACCCGAAAGCCCTAAGAAATGCATGGGAAAGAGGGTCAGATTAACCCCGAAAAAAGTGATCCAAAAATGGATTTGACCTAAAGTTTCAGGGTATGTCCGACCAAAGATTTTACCCACCCAATAGTGAAATCCTGCAAATAAAGCAAAAACGGCTCCCATAGAAAGTACATAATGGAAATGTGCAACCACATAATAAGTATCATGTAGAGCAATGTCTAGCCCTGAATTTGCCGGGACTATTCCAGTGAGTCCTCCTATGGTGAACAAAAAGATGAACCCTACAGCAAATAACATGGGTGTTTTGTATTGTATCGAACCCCCCCACATGGTAGCGATCCAACTAAAGATTTTAATTCCAGTGGGGACAGCTATGATCATGGTAGCAGCGGTGAAGTAGGCACGGGTATCAACGTCTAAGCCCACAGTAAACATATGATGAGCCCAAACAAGAAATCCAAGAACACCTATACTGATCATGGCATAAACCATGCCTAGATACCCGAAGACCGGTTTTCCCGAAAAAGTCGAAACGATATGACTTATGATACCGGATCCAGGCAGAATTGGAATATACACCTCTGGATGACCGAAGAACCGAAAGAGATGCTGGTATAATATGGGGTCTCCCCCTCCTGCGGGATCAGAAAAGGTTGTATTAAAGTTTCGATCGGTTAATAACATTGTAATTGCCCCTGCCAGTACCGGAAGTGATAATAAAAGTGGGAATGCTGTTACTGGAACGGACCACACAAATAGGGGTGATCTATGCATAGTCATTCCAGGTCCACGCATGTTGGAGATAGTTGTTATAAAATTGATAGAACCTAAAATGGATGAAACACCAGATAGATGAAGACTAGAAATTGCTGAATCAACTGCTCCTCCAGAATGGCTGGTAATACCACTTAAGGGCGGATAGACCGTCCACCCAGTGCCGCTACCCACCTCTACTAAGGCTGAGCTTAATAGGAGCAAGAGACTTGGCGGCAACAACCAGAATGAAATATTATTTAATCGTGGAAATGCCATGTCAGGTGCACCTATAAGAATCGGAACAGACCAATTACCAGATCCACCTATCATCGCCGGCATAACCATAAAAAATATCATTAAAAAAGTGTGAGCCGTTATTAAAACATTATAAAGTTGATGATTCCCACCAAGAATTTGATCGCCGGGTCGTGCTAATTCCATACGAATCAATACTGAGAAGCATGTGCCCATCACTCCAGCAATGGCACCGAAGATGAAATATAGAGTCCCTATATCCTTGTGGTTAGTGGAGAACAGCCATCGGACCGAATTTGTCATAAAATGGAGATTCTTTCGTTTCCTTCCTTATCAGAGAGGGGCCCCTTCTTAGGGAGCGGGGCTTCCTTCTTGAAAAAGGGGGAGTGAGAGGGGAAGGGAGAATTAAAAGAGGGGTGGGGAAGGTCCGGAAAGCCCTCACTTTATTGATGGGAAATTTTGATCCCCTTTTCTTTCCTCTCCCCCCCCGGTTATGGTTCAGGAAAGGGTCAACGCAAGGATCTTACTTCGAAGCAATCTCTGGAGTTTTCCCTTATCCGAACGGGTCTTGCAAAAAAATAGGATTTCATATTGAGCTCCAAATAAACGCTATTGGGATAGGATGGTTCCTACTAGCTCTCCCCCCTAAGAACCGCACGTGCGAGTTCCCCCGCATACGGCTCAAGTGGCGAAGGTTTGAAGACGCTCGACCCAAACAAGCAACGGCGAGCCCCTATCAGAGAAAGCCTTGGTCAAGCGCGCTAGCGCGCTTTACTTGAAGGTTCGCGCATCCTCTTGCTGGGAGAGAGGAACGAATCCTTCGCGCTTGGTAAGCGCTTCGCTGTAGCCAAGCTTACTGCTAGCCTATCGCCTAGAGCCAAGCTTCGACCGCGACTGCTCGTCACTTCTGGGCGCCTTTTTCCGTCACCCAAGATCCAAGTCAGCACCGGCAAAGATCTCTTGATTCCTCGCGGCCGGGCCGGCTTGGAAGCAAGCTACCTGTCGCCTATCTCACCCCCTTTCTTATTATTAGTAAGATAGGTTGCCCCTTTCCCCTTTCTCTAAGAAGAAGGTAAGCATCCCTCACTGCCGATCGCCTTCAGCAGGGTGAGCCTTCGCTTTTTGGATCGTCTTCTGCCCAATGTCAATGTGGTACCCTCCCGTTTTTGGTTCCCATTGGGTTTACCTTGTTTACAGGTCGACCCCATGGCAGCAAGAAAAAAAAGGCGATCTTGTGCTATACTCCGGTGATCTCTTTCCTACCGAGGCACGCAAACCCCCATCGTGTCCCAGATCACATTCCGTAAATCGAAAGGGGAAGCCTACTCATCCATCAGCTCCTCTCGTAGATCGGTGCGGTTTTACGAAGCGTCTAAGCACAGTTCACTCGCGTTGATCAATCAAGAGCTTTGCCGCCACTCCTTAAGGTTACCTGTTGTATCAGACACTTCTTTAATTCTTTCCCACGCTGCATACCCCCTTATTCTTAAGGTAAGGTAAAGGGCCAGGCATGGTGGGGTAGGAGCATTCTGCCGGCAATCTTTTTGGCTTGACCAAGAAGTCTTATGTCCTCCGAGTCGCACGGCGTTTTAACCGAAAAAACTTATTTCGCAATTCATGCTTTTCTGTTTTTATGACCAGATATTTTTTCTTGATTTCCATTTCAAATTGTTCTCTGGACTTTTTATCAATATGAGGTGATCGTAACACAGTATATAAGACTCGTGATTCAGGCAATCCAATCTTCCGTGTGTAAGGCGGAAGCCCCCCAAAATGGTTTTCCAAAAAAGGGTGATCAAAAGATCGAATCACTATGCGTATCTTGGTGGTCATTACTTTTTGTTTTCTTTTTGGCTGACTCCTCTTCCTGTTCTATTGATCAAAAGAAAGGCACACTTATCTCCGAAATCGGACATTTGCCGAGTTATTATCCGTTCTCCGCCTTATTCTAGGAGATATTTACCAGATTAGACTCTGCGCTCTCCAAGACTCTGCCACTCTGACTCTTCCACTTGACAGGTACGGATATCTTGGACTCATAGACCGAGCTGCTTTCTTTATGCAAGGTAATATAGGAATCATTCTATTTGACCCACTACGGTCGTGACAGGTTTAGCATTGTCGTCAACTAGGAAGACATCAGTCAGCTTCCCGCCAATGAAAGCTGGTGACTTCTGTTCCAACTGAACTGGGAACAGTCAGGTGCCACCCATTGGACTGGACGCATGAGCCAATGTTCTACACACAGAAGGACTGCACATACACAAACAATTAATAATCCTAGCAGCATCTCTAACTCTTGGCCTCTTCTCAGAGTCTGGGTGCACACAAAGAAGCCCCACCACGAGCATCCTCTCCATCTCTAGTGCATCAACCTTGGATCAACAACAAAAATTCCCCGAGAAACAGCATCCACAGAAGCTAAAGATATGATTGTATTGACTCAGAAGATCAAAATTTTATCAGATAAACCAACCAAAAGAGAGAGAAAGCTTCTTCAAGAATGGGTGATCAGAATAAAGAACCCATTGATGCGCAAAACCCGTGGAAGTTACAAAAAGCATGGATCGAAGAATATAGTTCATTTGCTTTTTGTAATAAATTGTGCCTAAATTTCGCCAGCCTAAAGAGGCTGTGCCGGGCTGTGCACTTTCAGCCCATCACATCAAGGTGACAGGATTCGAACCTATGGCCCTCTGTACCCAAAACAGATGCGCTGACCAGACTGCGCTACACCTCGTCTCACCCCCTCAGCATATAGATCCACCCGATCGATGAACACTCGAACCGAACTCGCCCATCCTTTTTTGGGGCATAGGGGCGCGAGAACCTAATCAACCGCTTTTTTTATAAAATATGCCTCCACTCCAGCAAGACAAGATAGGGCGACGCCAAAAAGCCGTATAGTGCAGGAGCGCTCACATTTGATTTTGGCTTCCTCTTTAATTAACTTTAATTTAATAAAACCCGGCTCGGCTACCTGTCCTTTGGACCCAAAGCCCGCTTAGAAGTGGATTCGAACCACTGACACAAGGATTTTCAGTCCTTTGCTCTAACCAGCTGAGCTACCTGAACCACTTTCCTAAAGTATGTTTTCTTCATCGAATAGCGCCCTACCTTACTTACCACTTTACTAGTCAGGGAAAAGCCCTTTACTAATAACAAGAAAGAAAGGGTTTTTTTCGTTCGTCAAGCTTTCGAGCAGCTCTTTCAACTGCCGCCTAATCTCCTCTCCCAACATGCTCAAGAACCGAGAGCCGCCCAGGGACTGCCGGAGGGAGCTTGCTTATAAAAATAAGATAGGCCGGTCAAAACAACGCGCAACGGGCTCTCCGCTCACTAAGTAGTGCTATTCTGTCCTCCGGGGGACTCCACCAACACCAAGAGGTTCTTTCTCTCACGTAATTTCGCCCGCCCGTTCCACTTCCGTGCCGGAGGGAATGGGATTCGAACCCATGATACAATCTTCTTGTATGTCGATTTAGCAAACCAATGCCTTAAGCCACTCAGCCATACCTCCAAGTTGTTGATCGGAATTTGATGTGCGGTTGGTTGCCCGAAGGGCTATCTGATCCGATCAACTGCGTAAGCCGTAGCGCGCTAGCGCGCGTACTCTTCCTCTATCTATGAGGGAGACTCCAGAAAAATCTAATCTGCCACTCGTTGGGCGACGCCCTCTTTTCTATGAACACCCCACCACTGAATGATGAACTTTGCCAGTCTTCGCCTCCGACCCGACCAGGAGAGAACACAGAGTCAAGCCAAGCCCTTACCCTCCTGAATTTAATTAATATCTCCTTCGTCTGGTCGAGAAGGGATAAAGCCCGGGGAACTGGACTGTGACTCTTCTATTACATTACGAAGAAGTCCATTTTCGTCATGATCGATCCACGTCCTACCGTAGTGCCCGGAGAACCAGGCTTGCTTAGCTTACCTTACAAAGCTAGCTTACTAACGCGAAGGCCTTTCCTTCACGGGCTTACTTAGTGCTTGTGCTAAGGAGCAATAAAACGGATGCGCTAAGGTTGACGCTCGACCCAAACAAGCAACGACGAGCCCCTATCAGAGAAAGCCTTGGTCAAGCGCGCTAGCGCGCTTTACTTGGAGGTTCGCGCATCCTCTTGCTGGGAGAGGGGCTAATGCCACTCGACTGGTTGGAGAGGGGTGAAGTGAGGGTCAGGAGTTTAGGCTTTCGCGCAGCTCAATCCCTTGCTTGTTGTTTTCGAGCCGGAGCTCGCCGGGTAGTTAAGTGGTCCATGAAGGTTAAATCACACTTGTGTTAAGCAAGCCGAGTAGTCAGACTTCACATTGATTGAAGCAGCTGTTGGAGAGAAGACACCAGTCAGACCTGCAAGCACCGGGTAGTACGCAACGGAAGTTTTCAATCATACAATGTGTACTCGTAGTCTGACTTTTAGCGGTAGTCAGCTGTCCTCGTTCTCCTCTTTTCATTGCCCTATTGAGTAAGGGTCGGTGTTTGCAAAAATGTCGAGCCGACGGGGTCAGGTACCAGTAGTGACAATGGCAAAGGGGGGGAGCTGGACACTGCTGAACCGGAAGAGATTGCTCAGGATGAGTGTCTGGGTAACAAAGCCGAGAAGGGTGTAGTCAAGGTGCGAGTTTAACGAGCGAGGATAGTGATTTGGCCCATAGAAGCGAGGATCTGGAAGAGAGGGTTGATACTGGGTCAACTATGGCAGTGACTGAGGGGGACTTGTTCTGTGATAAACAAATGAATGACTCCAAACAAGAACCTCAGGGCAGCCAATCCTAAGAAAAGAGGTGAACCTGAAGCAGTAAGAGTAAGCGTTCAGGTGCTGGTGCTATGACCTTTTTTCCACCCTTTTCGAATCGAATGATTCAGCGCTCTCAGAAAGCGGATCAAAGGCTTCCTATTCAACGGATTCGGATTATTCGACTTTAGATGCTTCGGATGCTTCCTCGGCCGCGCAGTACGTACTTCTGTTTGGAGAGTCTGTTCCTTACTTAGCTAGGACTTTGAGTGACTAGAGTAGCCCCTCTGTATCCGAAGGCGCCTTTTTGTTTATGCACCTGAAACGGCTTCCGATTTTACTTACTTATAGTAAAGTGGATCGACCCCGTTCAGTAGAATTACGAAGAAAGAAGGCTAGGCTTCTTGAACCAGAGCTAATTCGATCTTCCCCTTTCGACAATGTGTTTGAATAGCAAGCAAAAGTACCACGACCGAACAATTATATTCGGTTAACAAACAACTTCTAGAATGAACTACATCCATCAACCGGCATACCTTTCTTATCGTAACTACGATCTGTCTTCGGTGTTGATATGATCTTTCTATCAAGAGAAGATCGGGAATTGCCGCTAGGCTTTTCTTTTAGCTCTCACTCATCCCGGGCGATTCTTATTATTCTTGGCCACTAAGGTGGCTTTTGACCAAGAGAACGAGCTAGACAGAAAAGGTACCACCGAAAGAAGGTCGACCTCACCCCCTTTGGTAAACCGAAGCAGAGAAAGAGGAAGAAGCAAAGCTAGGCCATTCGATTAGGGATGTTCTCACCTGTGCGTACTATCTTCAAGAAGGAATATACAAAAGAACCTTCTTCTTTTTCGCATCTCCCAAGTTCGAATGCTTTTATGCTGTTAAAAGAAATCGAATACCATTCGTGACCCAATTCAAAAACGGAGTTACTGAAGACCTCCTCCCCCTTTCCCGCTTATCCCTCCCGCAAGAGAGGACTCGTTCTGGCTTTAAAGAGCCTCTTTTTTAGCAGTCTCGCCCATAAGATAAGAGAAGATTGACCATCTCTTCTTCCAAGCTTCTTTCTGCTTCTTCTCGGCGTAACGAAAGAACTAGATGAGGAGAGGCCTCCGGTTTCAAATCTCTACCCTACGCCTTACGAGGGCGCCCTAGCCAGATTAACTCCCAAGGGTCAATCAAGCCTTTGAAACTAGTTCAAATAGTCGTCACAGTCTTCGTTCCTGCTTTCAACGATACTTTCTTAGCTGCATCAGCTTGTAAAACTCTCTCTCCTTCACCAGGAAAGGGAGAGCGGACAAAGTACCAGACGATTTTGGTTGGGTAAGAAGAGCGTACGATAAGAGTAAGCAGACGATGTCGATAGAAGACGATTCGTGGGATCTTCCTCAAAGTCAAAGAAAGATAAAAATGAGCTAAAGTATGCCCAGCCCATGAAATTAGATGTCGAATGAGTACGATTTCGAGCATAAAGAGAGAATAAAAAGGAACTGCAAGAATCTAGGTTTAGCAAGATAGCTGCCAGAAAGACTGAGCTTAGGTGCATAACGCTTAAATAAGTGGTTGAAGAGTCGCTTTCCATCCCGACAATGACTACTGACTTTCCATTTTGGGGATTTCACTTAAAAGACTGGACTTCAAGCAGCAATGAGAGCAAAGGCAAGGAATTGATGCGCCAATAATCGAAGAATGGGGCAAGGCAAATTTCCAGACAATGGCAAGTGCTTGAGAAGGAGCTGTGAAAGAAGGGGCTGCTAGATAATAGGGAGCTCTTGAAGAAGAAGGGATTGCGGGGTGAACGGCATTCTGTTGTACTACTAACACTAGCTGTACTAGAGTAGTTTAGTAGCGCCTTTTGAATCAAATAGGCGAGCCCTTTCCGAATCCGAAAGGCGAACAGCCCGCTTTGCAAGCAAATAGATAGCCCCCGCCCGTTTGAGTCGTTGCGAGCCGGAAAGCGTACCGGCAGTTTGAGTCACGAAAGGGCCGCTTGCTTAATCTTAATTTTATTATATATATACAAACAAAGAAAAAAATAATTTTTTTATCAAATTGTTCATTCCTGGCCTGGGAAGAGGAAGAAGCAGATAGAGCAAAGGCCTCCTCTTTCCGTCCACTCTTCCCGAAGTGAGCGAATTGCATGTAGAGATCCGTAGGGGCTTATAGTTTAATTGTTTGAAACGTACCGCTCATAACGGTAATATTGTAGGTTCGAGCCCTACTAAGCCTAGCACCCCCTTCTCTTCACCCGATACAAGAAGGCAGTCGAAGTCCCCTCCACTCTTCATTTTTTGGGAAGACATCGCGTTCCTAGTCGATTTCCCTCATGGCACTGCCCCCTTAATGCTACGAAGTGAAGCAGGCATAGAGACCAACCATAGGGTATCTATCCTGTGATCCAACCCCGGCTCGGTATCGGTAGTCTCAGTCTTTCCCTGCCCGCCCTGGTATGAGTTGAGAGTCTAAGAGGGAGTCTTATTCTACTCTAGGCTCACTCCACCCCCTGTGTTGTCTTATTTCAGGAGGGACTAGATTGTTAAGAAATCCCTGACTCTGTCTTTGGGCTAAAGCCTATAGTTCTCTCCTCACTAACGGAAGTCTCTTAGTAAGTAGCATCAGCTCTTCCGGGGGGAAAGCCTAAGTAAGGAGTATTCGCGGGCTATCCACAAGCATTAGTTCTCCCCCTGACCTGCCTCCCAACCTCAAGATCATCAGCGGACGACGCCTTCTTCCGAAAGTCCTCCCTCTTTGCTTTGCCCCAGCGAAAGAGACTGAAAAAGACCCGTATCCGATTCCTCGGGTCTTGCTGCGTCAGCTACCGTAGATAGGAGGCTTTAGCCTATAAAGAAAGCAGCTTAGTAGTAGGAAGGAAGCAAAGAAAAGTATGCCCTACATGTCAACAGGGTGGAAGTTCAAAGCATCGAAGATGAGTACATGGAAGCACCAATGAAGAAAGTCCAGAGTGCAGATATAACCTTATCGACATAAGACATCTTGCTGGACAGGAATAAGCATACATAAGCGGCCCCTTTATTTTATCTCACCGGTGACATCGGCGAAAGAAAGAAGGCTACCGCGGGACCCTGGGGCCTCCATCAACGTGATGCCACTGCGGGCCCTAGCCGATCTAGGAATTCCTTACTACGAGCCGGCTAAGTCAGACCAAGGTTACTATTCCGGGGTACAATGCCGACTCGCAAAGAGCCATCGGCAAGATTCTTCTCTTGTGTGTGCGGATCTGAAGACTGAGGTCACTTCTTACGTGATTGACGGTGACACCTCCTAAACTTCCTGCTTGGATCCACAGCGTGGTACCTTCCACCCTTCATCAATGCTTCAAATACGTTGATGAGAAGGGATAAACTGGGTATTTGCCGACAATAAGCCCTTTTTTAAAGGAGTCTAGGCATACTGTCTGTACGGATGCGCGTCTTTACAACGACGGCCCAGACAGTGATGGATGACGAAAGCCCGCCAGCGAAAGCCGAAGCACAGGTTCGTAGACCTCTCCGAATCCCTCGAAAGCTAAGGGATTTACGGTCAACGCTATCTCAAAGAGCATGACCCCGTTGACGAAATCTCTAAACTGGGGCTGGGGGAATTACTTCAACTCTCGGTAAATAAAGATGCCACTTCCTGCATTACAGCAACCTTCTCAGGCAGAGGACCCTAATGGAGTGGAGCGACATTCGTCCTCTCAATGGAAGGTTTTTTTCCTCATCTTTCACAGGGTAGCCCGGAAGTCTTATTCTACGCTGGAAAGAATCGTCACCGATGGTGAGATAAGAAAGATAAAGTACAGTCCGATTGCAAAGAAGCGAAGGACATGGGCTATGACCTTGAGGAGCCTGTCGGGCTTTCGTGAAGAACGGTCGAGGCAGAAAAGTACCCCTCGAGCCGCATCTAAGTGAAGAAGAAAGGGAAGCTTGGCTAGCCGGCCAGTACGTCGATCTCAGAAAACATAGGCTTGGGCTACCTGCCAACTCCGCTCCCTGCGCCGAAAACTGTGTCTTACGCCGAAAGTTCTGGAGATCTTTCTTTCAGATCTCTTCCAATTGTCTATAAACGTAAAACAAAGAGCAAAGAGACGAGAGTAAGTTCAAGAATTGGATGTAGAGCCTGTGCCCCCTAAAGAGGACGAGATCCATTTACTTGACCTCGGCCGGATCGAGCAGTTCTAGCCTCTGCCTACTCTCTTGATTCTGTTTCTGCGTCAATGTCATTCCAGTCCAGTCGACTCTGATCATGAATGTCGTAGATTCAGTATCCAGATTCTGATTACGAAGATTATTACGAGGAGAAACATGTTCTTTTTACGAAGAAGAAGTGCGGGGTAGTTCACAGATTTGCTTCTCCATTTGATTGAATGGCATAAGTGTCTGGTGGTACAAAGGTCATAATGGGTTTCCAGTAAGAAGGGTCTTTCCAGAATCTAAATTGTCGGTTAGGTTTTATCCGAAAGATTGGAATAAACTTTTACCCTATCCTTTGGGGGGAGGTTAGCCCTACATCTTATTTAAGTGTTTGCCCAGTCGCGCTCTCATGCTCCCAAGGCATGTTGATGAACCATTCCATCTTGTATATTAGATTTCTGCTTTGGGCGAGTCCTTCTGAGCCTTCCTTTCTTTTGAGGAAGAGTCAAGATGGGCTTGGGCTGGAAGAGAAAGAAGCATCTGCTTGAAGAGCAGCACAGCAGGCCTGCGAGCTGAAGCGAGAAGCTGACACAGAAGACTTCTTCTTTGAGGAGGCCGAGCGAGTTAAGATGGTTGTGCGGGGCGTAATTAAAGAGATAATAATATTTGAGTTATGGAGGGTTGGGCAACCCAAAAGAAAAGGGGAGAGCAGAACCGGCACGTTCATAGATGAGAAACTCGAGATAGTCAAAAGCTGAGAAGACGAATCCCGGGGGGTAGTTGCTGAGAAACGAACCTCGAAGACAGCAAAAAAGCACCTAAAGTCTAGTGAACCAGTTCGGATGCGGAAGATACTGGAGATGATAAGTCCGGAGACGAGGTGATTAGCCGTAGATAAAGAGATTCGAGCCAGTCGTGGTAAAACCTGTAAATTGGATTGGATCTTTGAAACCCAAGATGATCCTTCCTCCGTGGAGATTGAGTATACAGCCGCAGACTGTCTTTATCCTCGTCTTCATACACACTTTCGATGATAAATACGCCAGAGGGAAGTAGAGGGAGCAGTTCACTGACTCGCTTAGCGCTTGTACTAAGGCATCTTCCCTAAGGTAGCTTGTTTATTCCCTACAAGTTGAGCTAGTTCCTGTTTATTCAATAGATTTATTAACATATCAATATCAATAAAATATCGTTTAGCGTTTATTCATTCAGAATACCCATTTTCTTGCTAATATGAAACTACCTGGGCATAGCTATGATTCCCATAAGGATCATACTTTCTTGGTAAACCCCTCACTCCTCTCCTTCGGCTTTAAAGGATAGATAGACGAGGTGGGAATACTGTTGTTTAATAACAACTACAATAGATTACCAGAACAAAGAATGAAGCAAGGAGTTGATTCTCTGATCAAGTAACCACTACCGGAACTGGCCTACTTTCCGGTAATCGCCTAGCTTATTTCCTTTCTACCTGCCGGTATTTGAGCTGCTTTCTACTTGCCGTACTGACTAACTGCACCCTCTCTTTGAGATCCCTCGACCCGCCCGTCCAACCAAAGTTTCATTCGAGCACATAAAATGCAATCCTTGAATAAACAGCAGCTACTAAGAATCTAACAGAAAAATCAAAAAGAAAGGATATAAAAGAGAAAGAGGTTCAGAACTCAACTGAGGAAATGTAATTGTTAAGTTAAGGTCGGTTGGCTACCTCAGGACTATCTGACTACACTACTTGCGTTAAGGCGCTGAAGCCGTGGTAGGGGTTAGCTTATTCCCAGACGAACCATCCCAGTAAGAGAGATTAGACACCAATACCTGCTGGAACTAGTAGCCACACTACGGCGTATGCTAAATTCCCAGACGGCTTCCCTTAACCGTAGGCTACACTTCCTTCGCTCTTGAATCTACAACCATATCTGGTTTCGCCTGCCTTGCGCGAGACTACGCAAATGGAGGCCCTTCCGACACGGAACTAGAAAGGTCAGTCTCTGGCCCAGACTCCACGGATTCAACTTCACCACCGGAACATTCGGCTAAAGATATAGTTTCATCTGCAACAGAGTCCACCACATCTGCTTCAACTCGATCTACTGATTCCACTGTAGCCTACGGTTAGTAAAGCAGGAGCTCTCACTTTATATTTATATATAGTGTAGTTACGTCAGTTCCGGAGTTTGCTGGGCCGTAGTCTATTTCTTTCAGAACCTAATGCCCTTTAGGACAGGCGCTAACCGCTTTCTACCAGCTCGGCTCGAACCGGATCGGCTTACCTCACTTTCCAGCATCCACTGGATCAGATTCCTCCTTTAGCGGCTGATAAAGAACAGGAAGACCAATCCCTGAACGTAGTGCAACCTTCGGTCCTTCTGAAGCCGAGAAGGAACTACTTCTTTCAATCCGCCCCCCTAAAAACCACGTTCTAGAACTAAGCTAAAGAGAAGGGAGGGACGGGATACTGACTAGCTCGTCATGCTCAAAAAACTCAAAAACAGTCGTAAAGCCAATTGATTTAGGGCAAAAAGCACAAGATATGGAGGCCTTTTTATAGTCTCTCTTATCGTAATCTTTGATTTGCAACACTCTCCGTAGAGCCCTCTGCTGACCGAACCTACTGTTATGAAGGCAAGCAACCACAATCACAATGGGGTAGGGCTTCTAAGTGCGTAGTCTGTTTCCAAGCGAGTCTTCTCATCTCAGGAACAAGTCGACTAAGGCGAGGGGGCATATCCGATCTTCCAATCGTTGATCTAGTTGAAAATTAGCAAATGACATTTCTCTGTAAATAAGGAAAGAGAGGCCGCCGGTCTTCTTTTTTTTGTAGTAGGTTAAGCTGCAGGTTTGTGAAAATGGGTTCAGTTGCATACTTTGGAATAATGGTAAATCAATCATCACCGGACGAAGTCAGCTTTACCCACGTAATAAACCACCAGAACCAGTAACAAAAGAAGCGAGTCGCAATTGATATACTCACTCAACGTTGACCAGTTCTATCAAAATATTAAGAAGGATCCAATACTCCTAGAGTAGAGAGGTTCAACGCAATTAAGAAGGATCGATGCAATTAAGCTGACTGCTTCCAAGCACCTTATTCAACCACTTTACTAATGGAGGACAAGAAAATCCACGATGTCTACCTAAAGATCAGATTGAATCAATATTCCTAGGCTTGGCGCTCCCCCTGTTGATAACTTGGCCTATGTAGGTACTTTAACTTTGCTTTGATCTACGCTCTTCCTCGGCGACTCATGCCCTTCCGCTGGTCTTTCGTCTCCGGTAAATAGTCTATGCCCCGCTCTCTTTTCACTTATTACGGACATGTCTATTGAATGAAGTTCTGCCGTAGGTCCCCTAATGCTTTAGAGGAGCGAACAAAGCCCTCTACGAGAGCGATGACGATGAATAAGTTACTAAAAATCTTTATTTCTACCCTCTTTAATGTAGATGCTTTGGACACGCCCTTGGGCTTCTCTACGATTCGTACCTATGAATTCACTTCCACTTTTAGCTGCGGCACGCCATTCCCCACCGAACTACCAGCTTCGCCAATTACTTGCTGTTGGTTAGGTGCTTAGTCTCGGCATTGCTATCGTAGGATGATTGGACTGTCAAGAAGCCACTTCTCCGCTCTCCAAATCAGCTTCTTGACCTACCCACTTTCGCCACCCTCGTTGGCGTTAGGGCAAACGATTTATCTTTTCTTCCTTGAGTCAGCTCGGCAACTCCTTCAGTTCCATATTTTGATGGTAACAGAACCCACTCTTGATAAAGGGCAATAAAAGGCGCAGCAATGGCAAGAAAGAATAAACCACGGAAAGGCACTTAGAGATCCTTAGCTAAAAAGGGAATTTGTGAACTCCTGTGTCTCAGTGCCATGGCATACAAAGTCATGTCTTGGAGGATTCCATACGTCGACTCATTCAGACGAAAAACACAAAGATACATCATCCCCAGGCGCACAAAAGAGCTCTACTATATCTCGACGAGACGGAACAGAAGACCTTGCCAACGATAAGACTTCAAATAAATGATCTGCACCTAGCTTAGACCAGGCTCATAGTCGGGCCCAGCATCTTCCCAAAGCCCAAGACCATCCCGAAAGACTCTCGCTTTGGACCACTTCTCCCACTAGACGGGACATCCTTGAAGCCAAAAAGGCTTTGAAAACACTTTTGAGATTTCAATCTCAGTTTAGGAAGGTACCTTAGCCTTCATGCCCTCGATCAAACTATCAACTGACCGACTGGATGGACTAACAGAAAAAGAGTAGCCTACGCTGGCTGGACCGCTGGACATACCTACATACGGACTGCAGACAGACAGATACGAATTCTGCTATTACACATGACCTGAGGAAGGAAGAAAGGAAACTAAGTCCTTAAAGGCTGAGCGGCTGATAGGATTGACTCGTGAACTGGATGAGACCATTCACTCACGGAAGACTTGCTAGATATCGCTCCTTCCAAGTGAGCCTCTTTCATAGGAATTCCCCCCATCAGATCAGGGGGTTCCTATAGGGGCCAGGTACACTCTACCATCAAATGAGACAGAAATGAATGCAAGACTTCGAAAGCTTGCAAGGCTTGAAGCTCAGAAATGGATAATTTTAGATCCGTTGAATTCAGACCATAAAGCGTGAAAGTCTTTTTCCTCCCACTTGAATAGAAGAATGAAGGGAGGAAGTCAATTGCCCCTTCTCCGACTAACCGATAGGGAAATCCTTACACAAGCCCAAAAGCATGAACTCGATCTTCAGCCCTTACCACGATTCTCTCAAAGGAAGGAGATGAATCTGACTAAGTAAGGGGCCGCGGAGGGACTTAGTGTGAGTCACTTCACTCGGGAAAGAACAAAGAAAAGGCAATCAATTGTTTAAGCTGTCAATAAATTCTTTAAATAAGTCATTTTACTGCGGAAAAGCGGTCCGCTCGAGGTTATATTCTTCCAGGTCCGGGACCATCCCATAGTGTCTTTGCCCAAGATCGATCCCTCACAGAAGACTTTAAGAAAGGAATGGACCACTCGCAAGACTCAAAAGATAGTAACGAAAGCCAGGAAGCACATTAGGACTTTACGGAAAAAGAGACATTCTATAGAGGAAAAGGCACTTGCCTCTTAGCCGATTGAACAGAATCCACTACTTCGACTGCTCGACGGGCTGCTGGAAGGGCCGATACGATTATCCTCCAAATGGGCGGCCTACACCTCAATAAAAAGCAATGCGAAAAGCAAGAAAAAGGCTGGGTTTCGTAGCTCCGTTTGCCAGGCTCATCAACTGAGATTCCCAATTGCCGGTATCATTGAGAACTTGTGATTCCGGTCAAGTCAACTACTTGAATTCAGCAGCTAGCCGGGTGAGAAGTAGGACAAAGATCTCAGTCAGAATCAGAGAATTTATCACTTGGCTAGTGAATTCAAGCTCTTTTTCTTTTGGATCGGATTCAGCCCCAGACCTTGGTACGCTGAGGTTAAGCTTTTCCCGGGTTTCCTCTTAAAGCGGCGCAGCTCCCAAGGTGCATATTCTCATATAGAAACAAGCGAAGCGTAGCGAATCACATAGATAAGCCCCTACCTGCCAGCATCAACTCATATACCACGTGGAATGATAACCGAAGGGCTCAAGCAAAGGCCAATGGTGATAGATATAGATCCGGAACCCCAAGCATGGACACTTAGACATAATGGAAAGCTTGTTAGGAAAGTTAAACTGGAATAGAAGGCCGAAAAGACAAAAAGAAGGGACTTTCACATCGCCCCCGACACACCCACGAAAGGAACTTAAAGAAAGCAAAGAAGATTTCCACGCTCAAAACGAATGCAAGATCCACGAGACTCGATACAGTCGGGGACATCGGAAGTAGGGACCAGCGCAGAGTCGGGATCCCTTTGGTATAATCAACAAAGAGGAAATAATAGTAGGGAATCTCTATCTCATAAGATAGTAGTCGGAAAACTCATTATTGCCTGTCTTACAGTGTGTCTCTTGAGCAGTCTTTCCTACGCCACCGTCAGCGGTACTGAGCTAAGTCAACTATTTTGATAAGGGTAGATTCAATAAAATGAAATAAGACAACTGCTACTAAGAATCTAGTTTTCTAAACAGACAAAGATCCTTAGATTAGATTCCAGACCGAGGTAGCAAAGGCTACGCTTTGAGGGCAATCGAGACTTGCAAGCACAAGACGGCTGTGATTGGGTGATCAGCTCTGTACAGGGCAGAGGATCCCGTGAAGAGAGACACGCTACACTAGACCGATAGTGGCTACATACCATACGGATAAGACTTCTCTCATACAATGGCTGTTCCAAAGAAGGAGAAGGATCGTATAGAAGAGCTGGTGGATCCCCAACTCTTGGGGAAAGTAGCCCAGCCTTCTACCATTATAGGATAGGGATGTAACTTCCGGTAATAAATAGCTAGTTCTGATTCACGTGTACCAGCCCTTCCTTATGCGTCCTTATACTATTATTCCTCCCCCTCATAGATTTACTGTTCTGTGCGAAGCTTGCAAAACCTATTCAGGGCATTTAGATTACGGTTGATAAATTTCATAAGAGAAGAAAGCGTAGAAAGGCAATCCGCAGTCAATGAAACTGACTATTGACTATTTAAGTAAGACCAAGACCTGACATACGGAATACAGAATAGAAGGTTCATCCATGCTTTTAACAATCTCTACTATTACTGGTTAGACCGACTTGCTGGCTTCTTTCATTCCTTCCCCCATTCCGTGTCTCCAACCCGCTACCCCCATCTCCGGTAGTCAATAAACGCTGATCTACGACAAGCCTTCATCAATAGTTCAGCAACCAGAGCTACTAGGCTAGTCAAGACAAGGCTAATTAATAATTTTTAGTCCCTCTCCGTAAATATTGGAGTTCTCTAGACCGAGGCGCTAAGGATGAAAAGAAAAAAGGCTCGGTCGTAGTCGTTGGAACGAACTCGGTAACAATGACCAGTCATTAGTTAAGCTGGCTTGGCTTACGCTTCCTTCCCTCGAGGACAAAGACCCTCTCCCTGACAGTAGGGGTAGCGCCATAGACTCTCTCTTTGGCTTAGAGGTCGCTTCAACGGCTGAGCTGCTTAGGCTTGGTGTACCAGGAAAATGCATTATATATATAGTGCAAGTGGCATCTTTCTTTCAGACTGCTTGACTTAGGATGGAGTCCTTGCTTAGCCGAGCTGGAAGCTATACTCTAGGCGGGCTTAGAATCCTCTTCTTTTTCTTCCGGGAATGAGCTGTTGTAAGGCCTTGTCTTTTTCGAAAGCTAAACCTAAAGCATATTTCTTTTTTTCTGGAATAGGTGAATCCATGCTTATTGATTTCCTTCCCGAGTTGAGAACAGAGGACAATCCCACCCTAGCTATTGGACTTTTATCCTTATCGACTTTGACCGAAAGAGCTATTCTTTTCCTGAGACTGGGAAGCGTAAGGCCGGAAAGAAAGTCTTGTACGAGGTTCAGTTCAGGCATAGCTACTGGAAAAGAAGTCATGCCTCATTCTTATTGATGTAGATGGGCAATCACCAATGGCTGAAATTAGAAAGGGCTTCGCTATGAATCCGTAACGACGTACCGACTGGCTCTCCGATAGACTCGTAGATAGAATGGCCTTTCATCGACCCCTTTCTACTCACCCAGGAACCGAGGAGACAAAGAAAGATAGAAGAAGAATTATTCTTTTTTTCGCCCGAGGGTTCCTTTAGAGAAGAATCACGCTAAATAGATAGGATCCATTTCCACCAATTTCAGCAATTACAAAAAGTAGCGAATGGAAAAAACGGAGTAGTGGGTCTCTCAGGTTAGAAAAGGAAGAACCGAAAGAAGATCTCTAGTTGAGCCTTTACGCCTTTACTATTAAGAGAAATGTCCCACTCTTGGCACACAATCTCTAGGATAGGTTCCTAAACGTGCTATATCTAGGGACAGGACAAGGGTCTTAGCGAAAGAGGTAGGGCGAAAAGCGACCAACCGAGAGGGGCTATGTGCACTTAACGTGATCAATGGATCTGTCAAAGCTTTCTTTTATTACGCGTGTACCTATCTCCAACTCCGATAGGGGAAAGAGATTGAGGATAGTTTGACATAACCAGGCATTCATTCCTTAGTCACGAGTGAGCAGCTGCTTCTCCTAAAGACTGGGCTCCCAAGGCATAATACAAATATAAAGCGGATTAGGAAAGATTCCAAAGATTGCTTTACTCATAGACAGGGTTCAGGTTAAGTACGCTTAAAATAAAAAGGATAAAAGAAATTAATACTAAAAACTGAGGGAGGTGGGAAAGGTCCGGGCTCTTCTTTCTTTGATTTGAAAAGAAGGTGAGAGCCTTAACCCTCTGGTCTGTGGGTAAACCATTAAAAGAAAGAAAGCAAGTGTCCTGCCTGAGGAGCAGTTTATGAAACATAAATCCCGAGTAAACAGGATTGAAGCTGGTGATCAAAACACTTGCTATTTTCACAGAGTTGTCAAAGCCAAAGCTGCTAAGAGCAGAATTCTATCTATCACCTCTGCTACAGGAGATTGAGGAACCTGCTTTGATTAAAAAGGAATTCTTGCAGCATTTCAAGAATTTCCTTGGAACTGCAGATAGCAATGGTTGAGGTGGTGACACTGAAGAGATCAGATCATTGCTAAGCCATTTTATCACTGATGAGCAAGGATCTGCACTGGTGGCTCTTATGACGGCTGATGATGTTAAGAAGACAATCTTTCTAAAGGCAAATAAGGCACAAGGACCTGACGGTTTTACTGCTGAATTCTTTCAATCCAGCTGGAGCATTGTGGGGAAAATAGTTACCAAAGCTATCCTTGAATTCTTATCTTCCTTCAAGCCCACAGCCAGCCGATTATCTTCAATGTGAATGTGCCATTTTATCGGGAAAATTTGAAGCAATCACTTTTCCCTCTTTAGTGACAGTTCAATCCTGCCAGTTGAGCGTTTTCTCGGTCTTTTTGGATTAAAGTTCATTTTAGCCCTACCTAAACTGGCATAAAAATGTGACAGTTGATCATTTTCCCCGTCTTTTTGGCATAATCTAAACGACAAAGTAGGATCAGAAGGCTTACGCACCCTGGGTATACGACGATATGAGTTCGCTTCGCACCTTGCCCAGCTTTCAGGAAAGATCCGATGCAGCTATCGAGAGTGTGATCGGTGGATCTGGAACTGACTGTTTAACGCTGGTTCGCGAAATGTCGCGGAAGCAAGAGTCACCACCGTCTTTTATTTTCTCCAAATGGAAAGGACAAAAGCACAGAAAAATTCCTTTTAAGAGATTGCTCTCGGTTCGGGAGGTAGGTTATAGAAAGGGAAGGTGTGATCGGTGGATCTGGAACTGACTGTTTAACGCTGGTTCGCGAAATGTCGCGGAAGCAAGAGTCGCCACCGTCTTTTATTTTCTCCAAATGGAAAGGACAAAAGCACAGAAAAATTCCTTTTAAGAGATTGCTCTCGGTTCGGGAGGTAGGTTATAGAAAGGGAAGGTGTTAGCACCCTTTCTATCCATGGTTATCCATGGGCTCTTAGATACTTGCTCAATGTGTTTTCAAATTGTTTTGCGTGCTTTTCAATGTGGGTTTTAAAAAGTTTCTTTGAAAAATTTCAGTTCGACTCATACGTCAGAGTGTTTGAAAAGTTTGCTTTGAAAGCTTTTGAAAATGTGTTGGTGTGAAAAGATGTTTTGATTTGTTTTTGAAATTAGAGCAAGTATCCTTGAGAACCTACCTACCCTAAGGAATTCGTCTGTGTAGATGTCCTTAAAAGTAGTGCCATCCCACCATTGAGAGGTAGGTAGCACCACCGTTGGAGGTGTTCGGGTCAATTCGAGTTTTAGGGACATGGTGATCACCAGAGCAATGGGAAGACACCTTAGAAGCTACCCTCATGCCAGGTTCCCGGATCATGAGGACTTACTAAGACATCCTCTACTCGACGATCACCTTTCGAAAGGCAACAGTGAGGCGTACCCTAGGGGTGGTGTGTGCGATTCGTGTGTCATGTTTCAGTTATTTGTCTTGTCATGTTTGAAGTGTTCTACGCTTGATTTTATTTTTAAGTCCATACATTCTTTCATGCTTGGTTAACAGTTAAATATTTTGCGAGGAAATAAATCTAAACTATTACAAATGGCGCGGGTCCACATCGCCAAAATTAACCGGACCCGATTTAGCGGAAAAATAAATAATGCGAAGAAATAAAGTGCGAAAAGTAAATTACATGGCTTTGGGATATTTACAAAATTATAATAAGCGATAATAAAACAAATGCGCAATTAAATGATTAATGACGGGCGTTGGACCCTTTTTGCAAATAATTAAAAGTTAATGAAACAAAAATTAAATGATCAAATGTTTTTTAGTATTTTGTGTTTTTTAGATTTAATGAGAAAAAGGAGAATTAATTAAAATTAAATTAAAAGGGAAACCCTAATTCTAACATTTTTTAGGTTTTATTATGAAAGATTTAAAATAAGATCTAATATTAAACCTAAAATTTATTATGTACAATTTTAATTATGAAAATAATAAATAAATAGTATTGTGAGAAATAAAAATTAAAAAGACATTAAAACTATCAATTAACCTAATTCTACATGTTTTTTGGATTTTTATTAAAAAGAAAGAAATTAAAGTTGAAAACCTAATTAACTAAATATTGACATATATTAATTTATTTATAAAAATAATTATTATAAAATAAATATTATGTTTTTGTGTTTTTCTGATTTTTTATAATGTTTTTTTTTATATTTTATAGAAAAAAATAAGTTAATTAATTAAAGCAATAAAAATAATATAATACAATAATTAAAAATAAGATAAAGAAAGCAAACCAGAGTGGGGTGTTGCCCCAAATAAGGAGGTGTTTTTTGTGAAAAGTCTGACCCAAGAAGCATGCAAGTCCATTGACTTTCTGGATCATGTGCTAATGCATTGACCACGTTCACCATAGGCCTGGGATCTGAGCCCTTGGTCTGCCTCTCCTGGACACGTGTGTGATTGGATGGTGATGGTATACCATGGTCTTTCATGTCAGCGCTGCATACGAATCTTTTATGAAAAATAATATGGCAAATATGCAAGACCTGGGACTTGAACCCAGGTCTTGAGGATTAATGTGGTTCACGTTCACCACTTGAGCTAGCACGCGCATGTTATGATATTACAACACATAAATAATAAAAAGAAATAATGGTTAATGGCCTCAAAAAGCGCGCGCTGGTTTGAATGAACCACTCAGTGGTTGCCAGCGCGTCATCTTCTCCATTGCTTCTGAAATAAGACCCTTTAGCCACGGTTTTGGATGCGTGGCCTTAAGCGACCTACAGGAAAATAGCGAATAGAGATATATGAGACATAAATTTATCGCGAGACACGTTTCTTGTTCATGGGAATACGCTGAGTATGGCTATCCTGGTCTTGAAGCTTAATTTTACTCCATGTCAAAAGCCCTAAAATTACAACCTGTAACCCTAGAAATCCGTCAATGGTGAATTCGCGTATGTTGTTCAAAAATGAAATTAAACATATTGGTTAGCACATAAACATCATGACAAACAATAATCCATAAAGAAAAATGCATGAGGATGCTTAAATCGTGCTATGCGAATTCAAAATGTCCTTGGTTCAGTTTGACTCGTGTGTACCAATTCTTGAGGTTTTTGCTGTCGTTAATGATTGGAATACGTTCAGAATTGTCCAATGAAGCTATTGCAATTGGTTTGGTGCCTTGAATCGCCCTGTAACCTAGATTTCAGAATTCAACTTTTTGAGAAATTTTGCAAGTTTGTAATGCTTGTTCATGCGCAGCTTTTAGTCCTCTAGCACTAGGGTTCTGATGTTGATCATATAGGGAATGATTTAGGTTGAAAACTTTGCACAAAATCCATGTCCATAATGATTTCACATATTTGATTCTTGAAAATCTTTTTTCAATCTTTTTCATGTTGTTTTTGTTCAATCATGATCCAATCTCATCAAAACTTGCCCTAATCATTTAAGCACGAAATATTGACCTTATAATGTGCATAAAAAGATTTTTTAGGTTAAGGTTATATTTTTCATGAATTAAAATCATTTAAATGAATATAAATTAATATTAATTCAAATAAATAATTAAAAAATATGAGAATACTTCCCTTTGGGCCTAGTGGTCGTGCATAGGCTTGGCATGAAGAAACTTGGGAGAAAATTGGGCCCATTTGCATTTTTAGGCCTTTTGCATCAATGTTGACTTTCCAAAATTCCTAAAAATTTCCCAACTTCCACAAGGCATAACTTGGTCAATTTTTAAGCTTTTCACATGTTCTTGGACATTTTGGAAAGGTCTTTGAGTCCTTTAACCAATGCCTTTGGTCCCATGTCATTTTGATCTACCAATCTCAAGTTATGGCCTTTGACTTAAAGTCACTTTTTGTTGACTTTTGAAAATGACCTATAATGTTGAAATTGATAACTTTTTGTGAGAGCATTTCTTGGACTTGGAACATGAAGATGAATTGTAGGAAATGTCTTTCTCTTCAAAATGAGCTTTGGATGGAATTTTTCTGATAATCCATGTGAAAGTTATGCCTTGGTTAATTTCAGTTGACTTTTTCAGCTGTCCAAATATAGCAACTT